CGGTGCACAGCACTCCCAGCCCCCAGTGCCCACCCAGGCTGGCCATTTCCAAGGGATATTTGACAACTCTTTCCGCAACAGACGAAGTCAGTGAGACACCAGGCCTGGCCCCACGTGTCAGGGCGAGGGCGTCTTTCGCGCGCCCCCTTTATCTGTAAAGTGGGGAATTCCTGTGTCTGTGTGCATTGATGCCTAGTAATATTGAGAAGCCACGGTTTTCAGATGAATGGTGCCATGTTACTATGGCAATTTTGATGTAAAAAAAAATCCACTCTTTTAAAATCTCACATTTCCCGAGTGAAACGGTGCCACCAACATTATAGCTCAGGGTTTTCTGGACCCAAGGTTTCCAGCTGCACAGCAAGAGCCAGCCGCCTGGGGTCAGTGACCAGCGGAGGGGGCTGCTGGGAAAGGCCTTTGGCCTCTCTAGGTCTGTGTCCCATTCGACCCTTCACAACCCAAAGGACCAGGGCTCTGGTGGAACAATAGCCCTAGAGAGGGGACCCCTTTCCCTCTGTCCCCAGTCCCCTCCAGAGAAGGGTGAGCATACTCCTTCCGGGCCATGGGCCAGTAAGTGATACCAGAGCTCCCCAACCAAGGTGAGCCCACCAGCCAGTAAGGCCCCAGGCCCGGAGCGCACAGCCACATTGCCAGCGCCAGAATGCCACGTGTCTGCAGAACTCTGAGCGCTAGACATCCGTCCATACGTCCAACAAAAGCCCCACATCACCCGCCCGGCCACACCTCTGAGCCCTCGATGCTGAAGGCCCAGCTGAGAGAGAGAGAGAGAGAGAGAGAGAGAGAGAGAGAGAGAGAATTCACTGCTCTGTGCCAAGCAGGGCTGCCCGTTCAGATGCCATTCCAACACATGGATTTCTCCTCGCTAGTTACTGTCCCCTTTCTTCTTTGGGACATTGTGATTCCCCCTCAGGATTTGTGCCCTTTCATTGCCAGACCTCGGTAACTCCTGAACTGCCGGTTCCCGTGGTTTTGTGATTGTTAACCCAGCGTGTGGAAGGGACTCCGGCCATAAATGCTCAATGAATCCTGTGTGGGGAGACTAGGACTGGGAACAGATTTTCTCCTTCATTTGCAGTCAGAGAGCACTCTACAAGCTCTCTCTCTCTCTCTCTCTCTCTCTCTCTCTCTCTCCTCTGCGGGATGCAACAGCAGCCAGGTTGTTGGAGAAATGGTATTTTCCAATAGCTTTAGCATAAGGAAGACTATTTTCCGGGCCAGCATCTCTCATGTCTCCATCAGTTATTTGAGCTGCACTGAACAAGACTCCTTCCCCGCGTGGAGCTGGCATGGAGCTGCCTGGAAGCTCCTCTCTCCCCGCCTGTCCTGCTCCATCCCAGCATGCCCGTGAGGTGGGGGAACGGGTTTACCTTGTGGTTTTTGCCATGCCGGTACACCATCCAGTCTTCGCCATTAGTACTGACTTCCAGCTTGTAGGATTTGACATAATAGCCATTCTGGGTCTCCCTGGAAATCGCCCCCTGCGTTGCAATGGCCGTGAGCACGGTGAGAAAGCGCAGGTCCACCTGAGGAAGAGAGGCGGGGACGTAAGGGGGGCAGTGTCTTGCTTTTTCTTCGAAGGACACAATGGTCATACGCAGCTCACAACCTGTGTCTGTGATCACTCAGACGTATCAGTGATTAAGGGCCAATCTGCAATTGCACTAGACCAGTGATGGTGAACCTATGACATGCGTGTCAGAAGTGACACGTGAACTCATTTTTTGGGTTGATTTCTCTTTGTTAAATGGCATTTAAATATATAAAATAAACATCAAAAATATAAGTCTTTGTTCTACTATGGTTGCAAATATCAAAAAATTTCTATATGTGACACGGCACCAGAGTTAAGTTAGGGCTTTTCAAAATGCTGACACACCAAGCTCAAAAGGTTCGCCATCACTGCACTAGACAGTGAAACTCAACTTATTTGACACTAAATAGGACATCTTTGAAATCGTAACGATTATTTCTCTCTCTTTTTGCAAATCTGAATGGACAGTATTAAGTTTAATCTTAAGAGAATCGTTGAATGTCTAGAAGCATGGCCCCTTCTTACTAACCAGCAGCCTGCCTTGGATAGCCAAAGCAGATCCTGCTTTACAGGAACAATGGCTAAATCCAATCCAATCCACTCCAATCCAGTGCAATTCAATCCAATTCACTTACGATGCCCGAGTTGCAAAATCTCAGCTCAGGTCTGTCTCCCCTCCCCTCCATCCCTCACTCCATTGTGTATTTAGTTGCTCAGGTCAGTCAGGGGTCAAAGGGCAGGCAGAGTCTGCCCAAGCAATTAGGCTTGTGCACTAAGACCTGACCTTTGCTCCACAAGGAGGATGGCCAATATTTTGAGGCACCCCCCCTCCTACAACACCAAACCCATTTGGAAATCGCTGGATGTCATTCTTTTGCTGGCCACAGCGTTTCTTTTCGTTTTGTTTGTTTGTTAATCCCCACCCGAGGATATTTTTTCATTGATTTTTTTTAGAAAGGATGGGAGGGACGGGGAGAGACAGAGAGAGAAACATCACTGTAAGAGGGATGCATTGATTGGTTGCCTCCCTCTCATGTCCCAACCAGGGCTGGGGACTGAGCCTGCAACTGAGGTATGTGCCCTTGACCAGAATCGAACCTTCAGTCCACGGGCCGATGCTGTACCCACTGAGCCAAACCAGCTAGGGCCACAGCGATTCTTAATGGTCACCTCCAAGTGATCAAAATTTAGCCAGCACACACTGGTAAAATTTGACCCAGCAGGTCTTTACTACTTCACATGCGCCCAGCACTAGACAGCATTCAACAGAAGCAGCCAGTGCGGTATCGGTGCATGATAAACAGGTGGTTGGCAGTAAGGGAAAGTATGTGATTAAGGACCAGAACTCAAGGTATGATCAATGGGATGCCCAATATAAGGGAGAAGTTTCTGGAAGCTTTGCAGGATGAGGAAGGTTTTTGGAGGGCAGACAGTGACAAATGGCCTTCGGGGTGTGCTGTGAGTGCCTCCCTGAAAGTCTCTCAGTGGTCTTTCTCCCTTCCCCATTGTGTGCTCTGCCATGTCCTTCTCAGAGCAGAGGTCACCGTGTGGCGCCCGAGCGAAGACAGGCTTGTCAGTGGGTCACACGGCTGCCTGCTGTGAGTCACAGGGCCTTGCTCAAGCAGGGAACTAGCAGCTTGCTCTTCCCTGGGGATGAGAACTGGACACGTCTGTCATGCAAGGGAGGATTACTTAACGTGACGGCAAGTCTTATTCGGAAGGGAAGCAAACTAGTCTGAGAAGATGCTGCAGAGCAGCCAGGCAATCGGAGTGCCATTCCTGGTGTTGACATTCCCCAGGTGCTCTTCTGAGAGCTATGTGCAAACCCTGCCTGGCAGGGCTCCTCCGAGCAGCAAGGATCATGGGAAGCTGCCCTGCTCAGCTAGCGACTCACAAGCGTGACCTTAGAAAGATGCCCACCCTCCTCCCCCATCACATTTCTGATGCCTCCCTGTGCCAAGGATGAGGAAGACCTGGAACTGCTCATAGACGGTTCCTTGGATGTCTATAGCAACAGGGCAAACAGCATCTCGGCCAAACAGTGTCCCCAAGGCCTGGTAAGCTTCACAGGAGCAGGGCAGTGTCCATCTTACTCGTCATTTAGCCCAGCACTCAGCACGATGCCTGCACAGCCTATTCGTGCCGGCACATGTGTCTGTTCGGATGGATGGATGAGTGAATGGTGTTCTGAAGGATACTGTGTTTATTTTCTTTGTGCCCTTTGTCCACTCTAGATGAGGAGCCACCCCCCTTGCCCACCAATATACACACACCCTGCACACCCTCTGATAGCTGAGCAAGTACCTGGAGATACTCCTTGTTGGAATCCAAGTTGGGTGTCCAGCCGTTGTCATCACCGTGGAGCCGGCTTTGCTGAGGTCTCCACCTCCCGTCAGAGTAGGTAGAGGAGGCACTGATCTGCTCGTTAGCAATCCTGCTGGACTCCATTCCCAGGGGGACATTGCACTGAAAGTCTGGGGAGCAGAGATGGTCAAGCACAGAGTTAGGTATCTCAATCTCATACCCTTGGGACTCGCAAAACACACCTCCCTTCTTGGGACAAGTCCTTGCAGGCACTCTCTCATCTTAAAGACCTAATTATACACTCCCATGTTAAAAAAAAACACACAAAAACAAAAACTACACCAAGTCCTAGAGCTTGACAACCCCTCTGGGTCTGAAAGAAACTAAATTGAACCTAAAAGAAATCAGGCTGTGGATAAATAAGAATCATCACACAAATTAAAAATACAACCCAAAGCACAAGAACTGTTAGTGCTGCAGGCTACAGATGCTCACAGATGCCAGATGCACCATGACTGAAATACAGGTACATGTGTGATAGACTGTGGCAATTTGGGTGGGCTGATACATCGTGGGAAGCCTGCTTCATTAATAAACACCCAGAAGGCATCTTTTGCTTCTTTGTTTCTTTCACTCCAGTGTCTCATGAGTTCTAGCACAGCAGACAGACATTACAAAGCAACAGGTACCTGTCTTCAGGAGACCTCTCTGTAAGCATGTGCATGTCACTCTCCCTTCCCCCGAACCACCCATCTGGGCAGATGGACCCCGAAGTCCCTTCCTCTGACCTTGTGCCATCAGTTCAATTGCTGCCCTTCCCACGGAAACTGCAGACACTGGTCAATATTTGTGAGTGCATGTGTCTGATAAGGACCAGCAAGCTTTTCAGGTTTCAGACCTATTTAGTTTTACGACGGCTCTGGCCATCTGCAGACTTTGGCGCAATCTGCAATATTACTTTCTTGTCACTCAATATTCATGAGCCCTTTGAAGAAAAAAAAATCCCAGAATAAAACCCATCGACTTTGCAGCAGGCCAGGCCGCCGTGCCTATCGGTAAGCATGGGTATGTGTCTACAGTCATGGCGGACTTCCCCTGCTCTAACCATCCTTCAAGTGCTCCTCAGTCCTTAGGTTATCATCTGGGTTTCTAACGAGAAACGGGAGCGCAGTTGAAGCACATCTCAGGAGGAGCGGATATGAAGATGGAGCTCGGGGCAGGAGACTGATGTCCCAGATAGCAAGTCCACAGCACTGGGCTCAGAGCTGCATGTTGTGCTGTGCACAGTGCCTGGCACGTAGCGGGAGCTCAGAAGGCTGCGTGCACTGGAAGTGTGAAGGGAAGTGTGGGATAAGCTCTACCCGGGGCCAGAGATGTTTAACGTCAAAATATATAGAGAGAGATTTAAAACTGCTGCTTCTGACAATGGTCATCGAGTCTTGGAGAGGAAGAAAAAGGGTCCCAGACTCAATGTTAGCACAGGGGGAATGTTATATAGATATCCTAACTAACCTCCCTTTTATTTATAGATGAGAAAACTTGAGATACTCCCGTAACTTTCCCTGGGAACAACTGATTCTTGGTACACATACTATTTGTTTCCTTTAAAGAAACGAGCACCTGAAGGACATGTGTTCTGTTTTCATTCATCTTTGCCTAACAAGAGGACGCAGCTCCCATTCTCTGAACTCAGATGCCAATGCAAGTTCTGCAGAATGCCCGCCAGGCCCCTGGTCTTGGAGCGGTCAGCACGCCCTCCCTCCTCTGAGGAAGGGACAGGACAGAGGTTCCCAACCGGCCAACTCACTCTCGAGCGGTTCTTGGTGGACCAGGTAGTAGCGGGCAGAGAAGCCATCCTTGGCCACCGCCATGTCCGTGTGAAAGGTCAGAGAGAGGATCCCTGTCGACGAACGTAGTTCAGAGGGTGTCTTGGTCCCGCAGTACTTGCCGATCAGGGGACCCACTGGATATGCAGAACAAAGAGCGGGCAACACATATGGAAATGTCAAACTCCATTTTCAGTATGTCCCCCTTCCCCACAAACGCAAGTCATTCAACGGGGCCTCACTCTGTATGCCTTGGCGTAGAAGAACAACCAAAGGTATGTTTTAAGAACGATGTCTAATATCTCGCCTGCACCGTAAAGGGTCCCTTCCCTGACCCGCCCATTCTGTTCTCACAGCCCCGGGAGATGGGCAGGAGAGGTACCATTATAACGCCTGCTCTACAGAAGAAAGGATCGAGGCTCCCAGAGGTCACGTGACTTTTCCTTGTTCAGACAGCAAGGAAATAACAGAGCTCCAACCCAAGTTTTATGACTAAATCTTGTATTTTTCTCAGGAAATGAAACTGCTTAGCTGTCGAGTCTCCGTTATGGGGCAGAACACTTAGAATGACTACGAAAGCGAAAGACTGGCTTCCTCACTGATACAGACTATTCCCAAGCCTTATGCTGGTCTCCTGCTGAGAGGAACAGGCTCCTCTTGGCCTGGGTGAAGTGCCCTTTTGACATCTATGACTGAATTAATAATAACGGAATTATAGTAATAATAATGATGACAACAGCAGCTTATTTATACAGATACTACAGATAGGTTAGCGGCTTGTGGAAGGTTGCAGAGCCACTATTAAGCAGAGCGGGATTTACCCCTCATCAATCCGGCTTGGGAGTCCTATCTGGGCACAGAGGGTAGCCACTGAGTCATTTTCTATGGAATCCTGACAACATGAAGGAGAAAAGAGCATCGCCGATAGCTTTTCTCATCCTCACCCAAGCGTCTACTCCGTCTCCTCCTAGCCTTCTCCAAACCAGTGTCTCCAAGAAAGGATTGCCCTTCTGCAATCTCTGAAACCATCCTTGGTGTAGGATAGGACAAGAAAGTCACGGTGGGTCAGATACAAACCCAAAGGAGGTCTGAAGTCTCGCTCTCTATTTTTGTTGTTCCTAAAGCAATTAGCGGGCCCGGGAGAGGCTCCTGAGCAGGGCCTGGTGACAGCAACAGCACTCACCGTGCGGGATGCCGTCCCAGATGTCCAGCCAGTCGTACTTGCAGTCTCCCTCTCCCACCTGCAAGGGGTCGTGCTCCAGGTCAAAGGTCAGAAATTGCAGGACGATCTCCATCTTGGGCTTGGCCAGGATGGTGAAGGTGCAGTCCAAGTTGTGTGGGTACTTCTCGGGGAACCCGGGGGACTCGATGGTCCCGTTGGGGCTTGTGAAGTTTTTCGAACAATCCTCGGAGCCTGTATGTCAAAGGGAAGCGTAGCATTAAGGAGGAGAAGACGCCTGTCTGAGCTGCCTCTGTTGCATGAGTTATTTAAATGCCTGGGCCTATATCCCTGCTCCTGGGGTGTTTGTTTCCACTGGAGTGGCCCTTGAAGCAACATACTCTTCCCATTCACGTGTCAAGCCCATGAGCGGGACCCTCTTTAAGAGAGAAATTAAGGAGGCGAGATGGTTTGCTCTGCATGTAAGAGTAAGAATAGTAATTTTTGAGAGAGAGAGAGAGAGAGAGAGAGATTCTCTTGAAAAGAGGAACAGAGACTTCTTTCTCAATTACTCAGCTGCTTGCTCCAGAAATGTAAGTTATTTCAATCCTTAAGGAAGGCTTGCTGATTGCCAGCAGGGCAAACAATGTTACCCCTTATTTATCGCTGACCTCAACACAGCCCCTATTGTACCAGTGCCAACCGAGTGCCCCCTTCTCCCTCCAAGATCCAAGGTGCCCCAGGGGAGGGGCAAAGGGGAGCTCGGGTCTCATTCATGTCATGACTATATTAAAACGAGCTGCTCTGTAGCGGCCAGACAATGAACAATCGACGTTTGTAGCCGGTGGATCACAGCGGGGCGCTGGGGCTGTGAAAGGCCGCTCGGCAAGCAAGTCTCGAAAAATGCGGCCCTGTGCTGCCACTGGGGAGGCTTCTGGCCCCTGTCTGTGGGGTGGCCTTTGCTGTGCTGCTAAGCGCTCGTGTCTGCTTTCTCGGGACTCAGGGAGGCGTCCTTATTACATGCGGCACACACTGCACCCCGGGGCGGGTGGCGGGAGCTGTGACAGGGTTACAGCCACCCTACCCCTAAGGCCTCTAGGTGGAGTCACATTCACAGAACACTGTGACCCCGCCTCCCTCTGCCAGGGGAGGCCCAGAGAGGCCCAGGACATGCAGCCCAGCCCGCTGGACGGGCACACACAGGGCGCCCTCTGAGACAAGTTAATGCCGCGTGGCTACTGCCGGACAAGTAGAATGGACTTCACGACGTTCTGATTTTAAAATAAATAATAAAAGAAAAGAAGCAGGATTTATGAGGAGGATAAATAGGCCCTCAAAGCATGAAGAAAAAACACACCCAAATCCTCAATAAAGCAGGTGTTTACTGGCAGGAAGTGTCCCCTGGGAGCCCACAGAAATGCAACTATGCGATGTCAATATGCGGATCTGGGCCTGGGGCGATGTCTTTATCCACAGCTCCCGCAGAGGCCCCTCCATGAGTCTCTTTATTGATGATGACTATCTGGAAAGCAGCAAAGTCTGACTTGGAAAAGGTATCATGCAGATGAGCGGGGGGTGGTGGCATCAGGCAGAAAATTCCAACATCCCCACCTACCTAGCGCTGAGCTTTGGCAGCTGGGCCCGGACCCTGGGGCGGGCGAGAGCCAGCCTCTTCGGGATTTGTTGGAGGGGTGCTCTCTGTGGGCCACATCTCAGCAGCTCTGCATCCCATCATTCCGGGGCGGGGCAGCCCAATGGGCAGCCAGGGCCAGCGGGAGGAGCTGGATGGCACCCCAGTTTCCTAGCAAGTCCCTGGCTTTGGTTACCATCTAGCCCTCAGCTCCCAGGCCTCCTCAATGGCCAGATGAGGCAGTTTGGCGAGGCCAAGCCAGCCGGCAGGATTTGGGGCCGAAGGGACCTTTGAGAAGGTTAGTGTTGTGCGGCCTGCTTCATGTGGGCCACTCAAGCCAGAGGAAAAGCGCTTTTCTTCACAGCACGCATCCTGAGCTGGGAGGGGCATGGACCTTCCTTCCAGAGGTGGCTCTATCTTCTCTCCCTTCCAAGGCGAAGGGAGTCCCCATCCCCGGGAGTGGGGAATTCATAGTGGAATCTTTCTTTGGTTCCTCCCCACAGTGGGAGAGGCTTCCACCAAGGACACCCAGTAAGCCTGAGGGAGGCCGGGAGAATGTGAGCTTCTAAAGCCCCCACGGTCTCCAGGTCCTGAGGCCGGCATTTGACGGCACAGAATTTTTCAATCTGACGTTCTTTAAAAAAAAAGAAAAATGTGTGTATCTATCTCTGACATGTGGCTGTACATGGTATATCCCCTGCCTTATTTGGAATGAGGCGGACAGACAGTTTTATCCTTTTTATGCAGGAAAATCAAACTTATCCATTATCATCGTGACTGTCCGTTAGAGTGCCATCTCGCTATTTAAACTGCGGTCACAGTGTTGGAGAGCGGGCGCGGCTGAGAATCAAATGTGGAGAAGAGATCTCAGAACAGGGTGACGATCCCTGACACAAAAGCTGAGCCTTGCAGATAACTACCTAGCCCAAGATCCCTTTTCTGTGATGTGTTACAGGGTTAGAGGTGACAGAAAAATACCTCCGTCCACAGATACTCAAGTTCCCTCAGTGCAGAGATTGTCCCCAGGAGCCAGGGGACTTCAGCTGCAGAGCATGATTTCAGACCAAAGGACTCCGCTATGAAAAATGCCCACTCCGTGGTTTCCCACTGTAAATTTTACAGTCACCTGGCAAGCGGAAGAAGAACCTGTACGCACAAAGCTCTTTACAACATGTGGGATTTATCTGAAGCTGAACTTGGCCTGATGGCAGAAGGTGAATCTAGTTCCTCAGTTCGGGGAGCGGGGGGAGGGGGCGCTCCAGGTTTTCTCTGTCTGTGAGTGGCCCCAGAGATTTCAGTTCCCAAAACGTCCCCCAGCACCGGGAAAGAAAACTTGATCTTGAACGTTGGTCCAAGGAGCACCAGAAAAACAAACAAAACCCCCCACATTTTCCAGTGATTTAAGTCTCCAGTGCTGTATTTGAAGTTATTTTAAAATTCCTTTCTCTGTTCTGCCCAGGATTTGGGGACTGGAGAGCCTTGGAGTTTACGAGTTGTTTTGGTTTGCCCCTTTACATGTGGGGAGTCTGGTAACGTACAGACTCCTTTATACGCCACTTCGTTCAGGGCAGACATGCGCCTCCCACGCCAGCCACATGGCCCCTGCCTGCACCCAAGTGGTGAGTGTGTGTCTGTCGGTCTCCTTTTGCAGCTGTCTCACCAGGGCGATGTGCTGGCGAAGGCTTCCAGAGCCCTCTGTGTGGGTATGTGTGTCTGTGTTTACGGTTCCCGCTTCTTTCTCTCTGAATCTGACCAGCAAACATAGCTGTGTGTGTTTAGATTTCTTTAGAACGTGCATGCGCTTCTTTCATGCTCTGCAGATGATGTAAATGGTGTGTTTTTCTCTCAGGACTCCAGCGGTGGGTGCAGGGCACGGCGCCTGGAAGAATGTTGACGTTTGCACCCCCGCACATGTATGTGCTTTATACCGAGTGGCCGTGCATGCGCAGAGCTGCTCTTTGGCATGGACATGATGGCGGGTTGCAGTGGCTCCGAGAAGCCACTGGGCTCTCGTCTTCTTTCTTACATTTCCCAGATGCACAGCCGCTGTGGGCGGGGATACCTCCCACTGTAGTCACATCCTTCCTCCTGTACAGACAACGGCAGTCCTGAAAGCGGGCTGCCCACGTCTCCACGCCCAAGCCACCTCTCTCGGCTGGCACTCCTGTTCCTAAGAAGTAGGCATACTCGCTGCCTCATGCAAAGATTCTACCTCAGCCTGTCCTCAAAACAGCAATGCTGAGTATAATACCCTCCTGCGTTTTTAACTTTTTAAAAAATATTTTATTGATTTTTTTATAGAGAAGAAGGGCGAGGGACAGAGAGTTAGAAACATTGATGAGAGAGATCGATCAGCTGCCTCCTGCACGCCCCCTACTGGGGATGTGCCCGCAACCCAGGTACATGCCCTTGACCGGAATTGAACCTGGGACCCTTCAGTCCGCAGACATCATTACATAAAAGAGTACGGTCTTTTTTTTCAATAGTTTTATTCATTTCAAACGGGCCGGATCCGGCCCACGGGCTGTAGTTTGCCCATGGCTGCTCTAGACACTGAGCCAAACCAGTTCAGCTGTTTTTAACTTTTATCATCATCCCCTTAAACTGAATAGCATTAACATCCACTTTTCTGTGGCTTTCTGGAGACTGTGGCAGCGTCGCTGTAAACTGCTGAGTCAGGAGACATGACAGGGAGGTGAGCTTGAACGGTCCTGCTGATTTTGTTGCGACGGCCCCATGGCCAGCTCCCTGGAGACCTTGCTTGAAGCTGTTTCTCCCACCGTGGCCAGCACAGTGGAGCCGAGTGACAGCTGAGCCCTGGGGACCCTGCTATCGAATAGACTTCCCAGGTTCTCCGCCTGCCAAGCCACCCGACGGAGCCCTCATTTCCACAACCACAGCGTGTCAGTCACACCTTTCCTGAGCGCTTACTCATTCTGCCTCAGATTATAGTTCTTCCTTCCATTTACATGTCTACTTACATCCATCCATCCAACAACGTCTACTGTGCCTCTGGGGCCTGCTGAGGGTCAGCACACCTGTCTCCCTCACGGGAGGAGGGCGAACACTCTTTGATTCCCTGGTCAGCCCTCTCACCCCACTGCTCCCGGCAGAAATGCCACAATGAGCGTTTCATCAGTGATCTGAGCTTGCACAGGACTCGGCAACTGTGGGTCAAGCGATTCAGGAGCTGCCCACCAGCCTGGAGCCACTGGACATGGACTGTCAGTCCCCGTGACCTTGTGGAGTCAGGCGGGTGGTGACCCACAGCAGATGGACCTTCTCGGGACTTGTGCCTGTGAGAGTCCGGGCTCCCACTCCGGCTTGACACAGTTCCCTCGGCCCCACCCCTTCATCAGACTCTACGTTCCTGTTCTCAGGCAGACAAATTTAACAAATATTTAGACAGAGTGGATATAAAAAGTGCTTTCAGCAGCTACCACTTCCTTTCAAGAACTGTTTAGTGAAAAAGAAAATATATATGAATAGCTCCCCTCACACTGAACTCAACAGGCGCCGGACTTGGGCCTCTCGATGACAAGGCCTCCCCTTTCACCAGCTCCATCCACGAGCTGCAAAATTTAGGCTGGTGAGGGGAACACGCTCCTTCGATGGGGCGGGAGCCTCTTAGGTGGCGGAGCGGCCGAGGGACAGGGGAGAATTGGGGGATGAGATTCACTCGGCCTCAAGATCATGAGCTCACATATCGGAGGGCAGGGCACACTGGGGTGAGAGCAGAAATGGGGATGCTGGACCAGCATCTTGTGAATGAAAGTTGGCTCTACCCAGGTATGGGCATAAGCACTGGCCCATGCTCTCAGCAATCTGAGCGGGAGCTAGTCGAAAGCGAGGAGTCTGCTTGATGTGCACGTTCTCTGCCTCTTTTTTTTTATTGCTTTTTCGAAGTCAGCTTTGTTGGCATTTAGGAAGTGGGGTTCGATGGGTAGAAGTGGTAAAGTGGTTCAGCGAGCGGAATTTCTAGGAGCCATAACTGAATTTCAAAGCTACTGTCTGACCCCAGTGGGAGGGCATAGGCCACACTGAGATCTTTAGAGACTCCACACAATACAAAGATTATGTCCTCCTGCTCCGTGTAATTCCAAATAAAGGCAACATTAAACCGTGAAGTAATTAGGAGGAAGGTCAACCGAGTTTCGCTTTTTCCCATGAAGAGTATCGTGATTTTAAAAAACACAAGAATCAGATTCGCCCCAACAGTGGTTTTCTATTTAATTGGTGCCCCTTCTCTTTTGGTGACTCAAACAAAGATTGTCGGCCCGTCGGGCCTCACCCAGCACATCGCCCTCACCAGTTGGATGATGACATAACTGCCTTTCCGTCTTGGTCTGTCTCCCGGTCCACCTGAACCTCTCTTCCCTCTCTCAACCTGCCTAGGAGCCCACAACTCTGACACAGTTCCCGTAGGCAGTGCCCCACAGCCAGACACAGAGGGTGGCGCCCCATCTTCTCGTAGAGGCCCAGGTCCCGGCTTTCCACCCAGAACCGCACTGACCTGTCTTGAAGATCTCGTAGCGCAGGGAGAAGCCCGCACCCTGCCGGGCATAGTCAGAGGTGAACTTGATGTAGAGCACGGAGCCCGAGGAGATGATGGTGGGCGGAGCGATGTTCCCGCAGTGCTTCCCCAGGAGGTCTGCAGACTCACTGTCCCCATCCCGGATCTCGATGAAGTCATACCTAGGTGAGGAGGGCGCGAAGGGGCACAGGTGAGAAAAGACCACTTTAAGGAGATGAGAAGGACCCCTTGTCTCACTCCAGCCCATGTGCACTCTCTCCACTCATTTCTAGACACTTAGGTGTTTCAGACTGCTCAAACAAGGTCACTATGTTTGCTTGCAGAGTATCAAACACACACAGAGGGAGTTGCATTGCTTTATTAAAGCCACAGAGAATGAGCACCTTGGCCGATGGCTAGATTTTAAGGCCTTATCTCTTGCCCACATACGAGCAGTAGCATCAGTCTATCAAATATCTCAAAAAAACATTTTTTTTTCATTTTTTTCTTCCTTCTGTAGAACCATTTTTATTTCCATTATGATCTTTCTGCACCTTGGTCATTGCCTCTTAGCTCTGTATCACTGCAAGTTGCTTAGCCCATTTGAGTATCTTTCTTCATCGGGAAGATGGGGATAAAAATACCCACCTCAGGGGGTTGGGAGAGAGATGGAATGAAAAAATCATATGCACGGTGCTAGGCACCGAGCCAGGCACACTGGGGATATTTCAGAGAAATTTTTATTTTCCTGCTCCCTCCCCCACCTTTAAGTTTTCTCCTGGGTCCTCCCTATTCTCTTCTCTTTACTTATTCATGACAAAGACTCCCCAAACATGGGCCCCCTCCCTCCCTGAGATGACTCTGCAAAGTTCACATCAGCAATGTCTGGCCAACAACATAGTTTTAAAAGGAATCAGCATCACGTTAGATAAGGCAATAAAAACCTTTCTCCCAACGGGACCAGCATCTCTGAGCACATAACTCCTAGCCTCAGCAGGAGGCAGGGGGCCGCCCTCCCTACACCACCAAGGCCTGCACTCATGTCAAACAATCCAACTGCCCGGCGGGAAAGACCCCTCCACCCGCAGGTTGAGAACCGCTGCCTTAAGCAGACATTGGCTGGGCTGTAGGACAGCTCACATCCTGCGACATTTTATTTGCACAGACACACGCCTTCGGCCTTGCTGTGCGCTCTAGGGATTGTCACTGTGCCCTGACTGGGTTCCTTCTCTGGGGTCCCAATGCTGAGGTGGGACATTTCCCTACCAGCTCCCTTCCCACCATTATTTACTGAAAACCATCATCTCCCTCTCCATCCCTGTGTATTTACTTGGCATCAACCTGCTAAACCAGTGGTTCTCAACCTGTGGGTCACGACCCCTTTGGCGGTCGAACGACCCTTTCACAGGGGTCGCCTAAGACCATCCTGCATGTCAGATATTTACATTACGATTCAGAACAGTAGCAACATTACAGTTATGAAGTAGCAACGGAAATAATTTTATGGTTGGTCACAACATGAGGAACTGTATTTAAAGGGCCAGACGGTTGAGAACCACTGTGCTAAACCAACACGGGAGAAATCTCTTTCCGTTAAAAAGAGGGTCTGGCCTGGCCAGTGTGGCTCAGTGGTTGAGCGTTGACTCAGGAACTAAGAGGTTTGATTCCCAGGTAGGGCACATGCTGGTGTCGTGGGCTCGATCCCTGGATCCCTCTCCCTTCCTCTCTCTCTAAAAGTCAATAAAAATTTATTTAAAAAATAAAAAAGAGGGTCTGGAAAGGCTACCCTCCCTGGGATGTGCCTGCCACACACCCAGGGTCTGTGGGAGCAGGCTGCCTGCAGAAGTGGCTTCTTTGAGCCAAAGTGGCCCAAAGCCCCACTCCAGCCCCCAAGAGCTGCATTTCAGGTAGCTCACATATTCAGGTGGCTCAGGTTGCTGGGCTACTTCCAAACCAATAGGCCCGAGAAGGAAGTGGGAGGTGCGGTCCAGGATTCGTTCATTAGCTGATCCCAGAGCCCTGGAATCCTGCAGTGAAAAGACTCACAGAAGCGGTTAGAGTCTGGGGAAGGTGGCAGGGTTTCCGCCAGGAGGTGTGGAGAGATAGATGGCCACAGTCAGGGAAGGCAGTGGCGGTGAGGAATTGTGTAGGTCTGTGATTTCACTGTGGGAGATGGTGCTAACTTTGAAAACATGCTTCCTCTCCTCTGAAACAAAAGTGAAAAGACAGTTGATTCTCAGAGGAAATTCCCCAAACCTTCTGGAAAATCCCTCCTTACTATTTCCACACGAGGTAAGTGCTGCGGGCCAGCCACACCCAGTGAGTAATGGGGATGCCCGCCAGCACATCTTTGGTGGAAAAGCCACGGGGACTCCTTAAACCAGTGGTTCTCAACCTTCCTAATGCCGCGGCCCTTTAATACAGTTCCTCGTGTTGTGGTGACCCCCAACCATAAAATTATTTTCGTTGCTACTTCATATCTGTGATTTTGCTACTGTTATGAATCGTCATGTAAATATCTGATATGCAGAATGTATTTTCATTGTGACAGATTGAAAGCATAGTGATTAATCACAAAAACAATATGTAATTATATATGTGTTTTCCGATGGTCTTAGGCGACCCCTATGAAAGGGTCATTCAACTCCCAAAGGGGTCGTGATCCACAGGTTGGCAACCCACAGGTTGAGAACCGCTGCCTTACGCAGACATGACCTGGCCACCTGGGCTAGCAAAAGCATGGCTCCTGGAGAAAGAGCCCTCCCCACATCCCAGAAGTGACACAACTCAACCTAATTAACGGGGTGCCCTCAGGCAAGTCACTTAACCCTTTGAGCCTCAGAAACAGGGAAAATAAAACTAAAATAGGGACAGCAGAACCTTTCTCCTAGGGTTGCTGTGAGATTTCAATGGCCAGCATGACATACACAGTGTCACTAACAGCCCGGCAGTCAGTAGGTGCTTAATAAATGCTAACTGTGACCTGCTGTCCTCATGCCCATTTCAGAAGTGAAGAGGCCGAGGCTGGAGCGGAAGCGATTTTCCCTGAGAGACAGAGGGAGGAAGGACAGGGCAGTAGAAGCAGGAAGGCACATCTGTTCAAAGATTTTGGAGGGCATCTTGGCAAAAATGTGACAAAAGGTAGTATGTACATACCCTTTACTCCAGCAATCCCACGGCTGGGAATTTTTCCTGAGAAAATAACCAGACAACTGTGCAAAGATGTATATGAATCTGTGTGGGTGGACATATAAGCAGCAGCACATAAGAAGTGGAAAGATGCCATGTTTATTACAGCATGTCGGAATGCCCACATGCACAGGTCCATCCGTGTTGGCCTATGATAAAATGGAATACCCCGCTGCTCTAGTAGATAGCTCTGCAGGTCTATATGCTTTTGTTTATGGAAAAGTCTTTGTTAAGTCGAAAACATAGGTATTTTTACAAGCATGTTTTAAAACATGTATGTGCATGTTTACATATACACATATATATTTTTTGCATAAACATGCAGACAAAAAGTCCAAAACAGTGCATACTAAAATATTAACAGTGGGGAGACAGATGAGTGGTGGGATAATTTTTACTTTCTTCTTTGTTCTCTTCTATCAGGGGTCCTCAAACTTTTTAAACAGGAGGCCAGTTCACTGTCCCTCAGACCGTTGGAGGGCCGGACTATAGTTTAAAAAAAACTATGAACAAATTCCTATGCACACAGCGGAGGCAAAAACACCCGGCGGGCCAGATAAATGTTTTCGGCGGGCCACATGTGGCCCGGGGGCCACAGTTTGAGGACCTCTGTATCTGAATTGTTTACAATGAGTCTACATTTCTCTAATAAGCCTACATTTCTCTAATAAGCCACAAAGATATAAAATAAAACTACTTCCATTAAGAGTGGTTTTCAAAGTAGAAGAGCTGGAAAAACATAACCCAGCTTTCACAATTTAGCAGATAAAAAATAAATATCACCATCATCGTCACCATCACCATCCGTCTCACAGACTCCTTGTGAGGACTAAGACACAGCCTGTGGGGGCACCTGCCATAGAGCCAGGGACAGGGCCCACACTCAACAAACACTTAGAAATATTTCTGTGAAGTCCAGCAGGTAGCTCTACTGGCTGTGGCGCCACTTTCTCCGGGAAGGACAAAGAGAGGCCCTGACACCCACCAGCTCCTCCGTCAGAAGGGGGGAGGGTTTTATCTGGTTGCCTGATCACCCCTGGATCAATTGAGGGGATCAGCAGAATCAAGGGTGAAGCAGGGCTGCCCAACAAATGCCACAGCTACCTGCCGGCCTCGATGTCCCCAGTGGGTATACGGCCCCAAACCCTCCTGTGTAACGCTGACAGCTGCAAACACATCCTGACATCCCTCCATGCACACAGATGAGGAGATGCGCTTTTGGAAAAAGTTTTCCTGTCACTCCATCGCATTATATGTTTTCTCTCTGAGCTGGTTATTTAAAGGAGCCCTCTGCGGAATCCTTTTGTGAAGCAAATAATCAGCCCTGACTCGAACTTCGTGGAAAAGCTGGCTTTTCCCATCGGGTTTGCTTCCGGGGAAAGCTACCTAGGATTGTACTGTGTGGGAGACTCTCACTCCCTCCAGGGTCCGGGTTCTGCTCTGCGGACAAGCCCCAGTCAGCCGCCAGGGCCGTGGCCGGGCTTTTTGTAGACAAGACCCACTCCAGATGACACGCTGACCTCACACAACACGGAATGTCTCAGTTGCCTCCTGTGGGACTGACTCATTTGGGGAAATTTTTTGTTAGGGATTTGCCACAGCTGGAGTAAATCTCAGAAATTTCGTGTTGTCAGGTTCGTGGGAAGAAGCTCGCAGAAGCTGAGGACGTCTGTGGCCTTGGAATATGCATGCCTCAGCGTCCAGCATCTAGGATCCAGCGTTTGTTTGGTGAAGGAATCTGGGTACAGGCGTGGGGTTTAACCGCCGAAACAGTCCAGTAGGGGTGTGGGAATCTTGACCGTGGAATTAATTTTTTTTGTTAATCCTTACCCAAAGATATTTTTCCATTGATTTTTAGAGAGAGTGGAAAGGAGGGAGAGAGACACAGAGAGAGAAACATTGATGTGAGAGAGACACATTGATTGGTTGCCTCCTACAGGCGCCCCAACCGGGGCCAGGGATTGCACCTACAAGTGAGGTACACACCCTTGAC